ATTCCGGTAGCAATTTTTCAAGCAACCTTTTCGCCGTCATCAATCCGCAGCAACGTTCTCTTATCTGCGTACACCGTGTAGATTAAGTTTCACAGGCCCAAGCACGCGGCTGGGCAACAAGAAAACGCGAACTCGAGCAACATTTATCGGCCCCGGTGTCTCCTTCCCGGTAAACAGTTTCGCAAGAGGAGTTTCGCCGACGATCGCGGGAGGTTTCGCCGGGTTTTTCCAATTACGGTTGCACGAGGTATCGATATCGGGCCCCCTCTTATCAGCGCAACGGCCGTGTTACCTACCGCTTCGCTAGCGATTCTTCTCTGCGGCCGTTGGTCGCGGCCGCCGGGCAGATCCCTCGTAAATTCGACGGAATGGAGAAAGTCCGGTTTCTCGGCGCGATTATAAGGCGACCGTCGCCGGTGTCGGATTTCCGACGTTTATCGTCGCGCGCCGGTTATCCGCAATTAGCTCGCTCTAATTAAACTCTTTCGCGGGCCGCGAGAAAAACAGCGGAGCCGCCTCTCTTATTTCGATGCTCGTCACAGGAACGAATAAAATCGAGCTGGTCAAAGTATTCGGGACAAGGAAAGTCGTGACTGACTGTCCCCGAGAGTGAGGAACGGTAATTGGCGGGCCCGAGGTACCGCAATGGCGCCTCGCCTCTGGACTACAAATCGACGGGGTCGCGATCGAAATTAGGAGACCGCTGTCGAAAGTAGGAGACAGCCGGCGACATATTCAGAAATTTTCGGGACGCTTTTTTCAAAAGTATATCAGCACATCTGTTCCTAAGTTCCTGGATTAATTTTAAGAAATGCGAAGTAGAACAACATCGATCTTCCGATAAATGCTCTTACAAATTAACTGTTAATTACCATGGCGTATTTGGGGTTATTATGTATGACGTAATGATATACCATGACGTAAAAATCGCATTGACAATTAATTCATAAGCAACTCTCTTCAGCAAGCATTTCTTCCGACGAGACGTACTCGTTGAACTCTGCAGAACTGTTGCAGCACGAATTGAAAGATATTAACGTCATTTCGACGCATACAAAAATGTGCTACTTCTCTCTAAATGTTACTAGGCAAAATACTGGACACGTTGCTAGGCAAATATAACAAAAAAAAAAATAAATTACCAATTTATGAATGCACTTTTTCTTATATACGTTTTCATTTCGAATCCACAGAAATTAGGACATCCACCCTGTCTCGCAGCCGCAGCAGTAAAAACGATTGGCTCTGACCCGGGTTCGCCTATGCAGGACGAGGAAAGTCCCGGCGCAGTGTCCCCGCGAGTGACAAACGGTAATTGGCGTCCACCCCGGCCCGCAAATCGCGGCCGCCTGCTCATAAACAAAATTACTATCAAAGATATAATTCTCGCCGGAAAGAAATACACGGCGCTACCCTTCCTCTCTCGATGGGAGCCGCGAAGGTGGCACGTCGGGAGGCTCGCCTCCGTAGATGAAGCTATTTTGCCGTAATTTATACGGACCCCGGTGGAAAGTAACGAGGAAACCATTCGTTAAACGTCCGCGTCTCGTCCCCCCTCTATGCCGCGGCCGCGCCGCGGATTACGATCTCGGGGATTCCGGCAGCCATGCGGCATACAAGCGCGATAAATTCTCGCCACGGACCCGCCATTACCCGGTATTACGAAATAATTATTGCCGTCGTATAAAAGCCACGCACCGAACACGCGAGAGAGACAAAGGCCGGTTCGAGCGGCCGTGGAACTCTCGCGGAACTATTACCGTCTGATTTGTTGAAGAATCGCTCTCCGAAGGTGGGCGAGATCCATGCCGTACCGGCCGGCGTTTTATTCCCGCAACACACCCCCTCCGCCGATACGGCGGCCACTGAAATTTAGAAAACTTACGGCTGCATCGGACGCCATTGTTTACTGCTTCCTGCGCCGCGTTGCTTCCGACTTTTATGCCGGATTATGCGCGCCGATTTACGACGCTCGATTTTCGGGGATTACTCGACTCGTCGTGCTAGCAGTTCTGTTGCGGATGATATTTTTATTAAATCGTTATTATCTTAGTAAATAATTTACGGTGAATGCAGTTTTTTAATCGTTGCCAGTAGCTTCGAAGGACGATTTTGGATTTCCCGTTCAGCGTAACGCTGTCGAGGTAGACAAAGTGCAATAGGATAGTGTTAAAAAATCGTAGGTTGAATTTTGCGCATTCGTTGTGAAGAACAGACATTGTTCTTGAAATTCGTGGCGGTCTGAGTTGTCGATACGATTTTTTTAACTCTGCAGAAATGTCTGAGTTTAGCAAATCAGTAAACTTTGTAGGATTTTTGGGAAAATATTTACCTCCATTCTATCAATTATCGGCAAGTGTAGAATTATGCCAAGGAAAGAAATAATTAGCGGAGATAAACGCAGAGGCTTTACTCTTTAAAATAAGCTAAAGTACATTGTCGTACGCCTTTTTTCGACGAAGTTACCAAAGCTTTAATCTTCCCTTAGTCTTGATGACGAATACAGTTTACTTTTTTACGTAGACAAATCTGTCTTCGCTTTCCCTTTTATTATCAAGTACAGAAGCATTGCAAAAAAATAAACAATTAGTGTAGATAAAAGCGGAGGTTTCACCCTTTAAAATAAGCCTAGGTACACTGCGGTACGATTTTTTTCCACGAAGTTATCAAAAGTACAACCGTCCCTTAACTTTGATGTAACTTTGATACTTCATTCTTAATTGTGACAAAACTGTCTCCAGTAACTCGATTACTACCAAGTGCAAAAATACGTAAAATAAAAAAACAATTAATGAATATGAAAATAGATACTTCGCCCTTAAAAACAAGCCTAGTTACATTGCCCAGCAACGACACACCGTTATTCGGCACTATAAAGTTTAATCGTGAAATCCGAGAATTTGAAAATTTCGATTAAATGTCGGAAATTAAAGAATCAAATATTTCTACTCGGGGTCCAAATGGGCCCAAGTCCTGTCGCGCGTGTCTTCACAACAGTGCCGAAGAGGCGACATTCCCGTAACGACTCTCGCGGCGCTATTGACAAACTCCGAGTCAAGAAGATCGCGTCCTAACAAGAACAGCAAGACCTTTCGAGGCAATCTCGTTGATCCACGGATACCTTCTCTACGCCTTCGAAATAGCTCTATCGAGGAACGATCGAAGGTCGCGCGGGTCGTAACCCCTCACGGAGGACCGGATTGAACCCGGTGGCTACCAGGTGATCGACCACGCCTCATCACTTTGCCCGCTACCGAGGCAAACCAGGGATCCGATACCAGAGTCGGATAAAGGAGGAAGAACCGAGTGCGAGGTGGTACCTGGTTATGATCGTCATTATCATCATCATCATCATCATTGCGAATCCCCTGGAACTCAAGGCGGTCACTCAAGGTCAGTACTCTAGCCCTCGTACACCGCTGATCCTCGCTCCTGCCTTCTTGTCCCGTTGTTGCGATGTTGCACAGCCGCGGTGATACTTTTTTCTTTTATCCACTTGTTCGACGCGGGTGGACGATGCAGAATCGATTGTCTTCGCGATCGTTGCGACAACGATCTGGCGGCTGCATCGCGTTCAATCGACCGCCGCTCTTACGAAATCAGAGAATCATTGCGGTATTTACGAATGATCGAATTGCAGCTCGTAAAACGGATTCATCTGATAGACTGTGTACCATAATGAAGAATGAAACGTCTCTCGCAGAATCGTCTCAGCGCGAGGATCGCGTTTCGAAGCATATTTCCCGTATCACCGTCGGACTGCTGAGTTTATGCATTCAGAATAGAGTAAATAAAACACAGAACACTCGTATTGACGTCTTACAGCAAGGGTGTCAAACTCGCGGCCCGAGATGAACCTTTTCTGCGAGAGATGTCAAGTATCAGGACGTAAACAATAATTTAACTTTATATATGTTTATTACAATGTACTAGTCAAAATAAAAATATTTGTTTCTATGAACGTTGATTTTTTTTGTGAGGCCCACCTAAAGTTAAGCATTGTTTATTTGGCCCAAGTTAGCTTTTGAGTTTGACACCCCTGTCTTACAGCATCAGCTGGAAATCTTGTGTCGTGCAACAGAGAGAGAGAGAGAGAGAGAGAGAGAGAGAGAGAGAGAGAGAGAGAGAGAGAGAGAGAGAGAGAGAGA